GCACATCATTTCAGTCTTAACTGTTCCAGGATTTACATTACTTATTGGTTTTATTGATATTTGATTGTAATAGGTAGTATAAACCTCTAACTGCATCCACAGAATCATAAAATAATGTGGGTTGGAAAAAACATTGCTCTAGCTCCCTATGCCAAGCATGACTTTTCTATTCTTCAGAAAATATATCAATCATATCACATATTTTGGAGAATACGTCTTAGCTATGTCAACAACACTCACCAGAGTGACTGCAGCGCCATGTCCAGATACCTGAGGAATCTGTGAGCAGTAACATTTCTGTTCACATTTGAAATTTGCAGCAGAGCACAGGAATGTGGAGCACAAAGTGCCTGGGATCATAACAGAGTTCCCTGCTTTGTCTGCTTAGCTGAGTTAGTAGAATAGTTCAGACTCTGGCATGTTACAGTTTAATCATGCCTGTCACTGGCATGGAGATACATCAGTAGTTACCATATACACCACAGGGTAATATGCATGTGACTAGATCATATCAGTGTATGGATGCATGTATATATATATGGGTGTATATATATATAAAAATATATATATATATATATATACACACACACACACATATATATGTATGTGTATATGTATACATATTTATATGTATATGTATGTATATATTATATATAATATATTTTAATATATAAAAGATATACATAATATATTTTAATATATTACATATATTAAAAACATTATAGAATATTACAGCAACCAAAATATCTTGCTTTACTTCTTTTTTTAAACCACAGTACCTAAAACCTTTATGTTCCTATCTTTTAAAAACTATAGCAGCACATAATTTTATGTTTAGTTCATTTATGAGTATAGATGAGTTATTTGCTGAGATATCCTGTCACCAGTTTTTCTAGAGATTTGACTCCTTCCCATTTTCCATTGCAATATTTATGACTCAAGTTTTTTGGTACTAGAAATCTCATTTGTTTGTAGACATGTTTATCTGTGTTATGCTAACAGAGGATCTTGTGTCTGTGACTAAACAGCAAAGTTCCTATAGCTAGTAGAAGAATAACATGTCCAAGGATTGAAATCCAGCAGCCATCCACAGACACTGACAGGTATTGCCATTGTATTTTAGCTGAAGTTTGAAATTTTGATACTTAGAAAGTGTGTTGTTGTGTTTTTCTTGTTCTGTTCAGTGTTGCTAGATGAAAAAGATGCACTAGGAGCTGAATTGTAGTGTACTGTAATTCTACAGTAATTCTATTTTTATTTCTTCAGATTTTTGTTACAAGAAAAATCTAATGCTAAAATGGTGATTGGCATGATCTCATCATTTGTACCAAGTAAAAGACTGTAACATGGATTTTAAAATAATTTTTTTTCCGTCATTTTGGGGAAAAAATAAGCTCTATTTGTTATGTAAGCTGCTACAATTGCTTACTGTTGGAAAATGTTAATCTTTTATAAAGCTTTAACTATCCCTAAGTTTAGATCAATGACTATAATAATTTGTTGAAAATTCTTTTTGCTTGTTAAGAAAACTAACAAATCTGAAAAATTAAATTCAGAAAGTCTTATTTACTACATTGGGAAAAGAATTCACATTTGAAATTTGCAGAATATATATTTATATATATAAATGGAGACAAATCAGTATAAAAATAAAGTTTGGTAACACCTTTGGTTAGGTACTACAGCAACTAGAGTTTACAGTGGTACCTAAATGATGTTAGATTCTAGTTCTAATACTTGATGGGTTTGCAATAAGAAGTTAGGCTGTGAATCCTTACAGAGCTTTCTGTGTAGTGACTTACAGAGAGCTCAGTCTCACAGTGATCAGCTTCCTTGGTTTAGAAGCAAACACTGCTGTACATTTTCCTCAGAGTAAGGGAGAGTTATGCTTACAAGTCTTGCAGACTTTGGCAAAGAAATTTGCCATCTACCATGCCTGACCTCCCTAGCAAAAGTAGAAGGGTGCTACAATAGGCAGTACTAGATGGAGGAAGTTTGACATTTCATTAACTGTATTTTCATAATGGAAAGTCTGTTAGCAAAGGTAAGAAGTAGTAGTGTACATTAAAATATTATATGGATGTTGAATAGTTTAACTAAGGCTACCATATTTCCCTCTTTAAAAATCAGTAATTTATATGATACGATTTGGAATAAGAAAAGAAGAAAGTTTCATCTAGGTAATTTGTAAGCATAAGTCTTTTAGAGTGATATCTGAAAATTTAGAAACTTCCATTTTTAGTTTAACTTCCTCCCATAATTATGGCTGGATTTTGATATTCATACATAGTTGTATACAGTGGTAAGGAAGGAGTTTCACTGCGCAAGCAGGTTATTGGAATGATGGCTTTCCTATAAAAGGAACAGTTGCTGAAGACTGGGTTCATGTAGCAAGTGTGTTAAAAGGATAAAACAATGAGTGAGGATGAAGACCAGAGAGTAAAACTATTTTTTGAATTGCTCTTTATATGTGTATGATTTAAAACCACAAAGTGAAGCTTTCAAGTGGAAGACTGTCCCCTTGAAATAGCCCTCCAATTGCTGCAGTGGTTATTGAGAGGATTGCAGCCTGTAGCCTGGAACCTGAGGGTGATAATCAGTTTAACCTCATGACTCAACTTAGTCTTCAAACAGCATTGCCACAGCTTCAATGGTTTACTGCAAAAATCCACCCTCTCCTTCACTTTGGGGATTTCCTGTTTGTTTTTCCGCTTGAAATGCCCACTGGAGATTGTAGCAAACTGTATATTAGCTACTGAATATGAATTTTTTGAGGCCTTCATCTGTTAGCATTGTGGTTAGCGACAGTTGCTCCATGATGCTCTGCGGAGCACAAAACTTGCCCACTAAGACAGTATTGATCCCAATGGTAAAAATGCCATTCCTTCTAATCAGGCAATAGGTCAGACCCTTTATCCTAAAAACTACTTTTTATACCCATAGAACTAAAGAGAATGAGGCCTCACAAGTCACAAATGGGAGCCTTAAGGCTCTCATGAAGTCTTTATGAGAAGCATGTTGTTGCCACTCAGCTGTTCCTCTGAGTATCCTACTGGCTGTGGGAAGGAGAGAGAAACAGAGCATGGAGTGATTGCCTCACCATATTGTTGCTGGGTGTTCCAGTGGTCCTCTACTCACTGACAGGAAAGATGCTGACAGACCTAAAAAAATCTCTGTGGGTTCATTAATATTCTTAAATATGTGGATAAACAATGGGTTTTTCAAGGCCTGGATATTATTATTTTTTGTAATTTTGTTGAATTTAGGAATATTTTTTCTCAGAATTTATTCCCAGAGTCAAATAATGTATTCTATGGTCACTTCTTGCCATCATGCAGATGGGTGATGTTTTTCTCACCTTCCATAAAGCTGAATTATCTCTTAAACAGTCATTTAAACTAAACAACATTCCTACTAAAGCTAAGGTTGTGTTTCTTTGTCTATCAACAAAGAAGCGAGACAGTGGATGTTTTTGCTGATGAAGCTTCCCATTCAGAAACAGAACTGATAGAAGAACAAGTGAGGTAATCCTGTGGTTTTGTGCCAGGCTCATTAGCACAAAAACAACCTTTAGTGCCTCAGCTTCTAATTTTTGTTTATGTGTCTTGCTGTGGTGTTTGCTTGTTAGGAGCTTATAGATGTAGGTTCATGATGTATGGTATTATTCTGAATCTGTCTGTGGCAAGTCCTTTGTATGCTCTAGGAGTCCAGTTATGACCACATGGAAGGCCTGAAAAGATTGCTTTTAATGAGTGTTTTATAAATGCATTCAGCAAAGTCAACCGCTGTACTCTATTTCAATGCTTTTAGAAATAAAATGCTGTTACTAACACAAAAGTCTTCATAATAAGGCTGTGGTATGTCTCTCTCCTTTCTGATACTAATTAAAATTTGACTTCTTGTTACACTTAATCACCATCAAGCCACTCATTGTATTAACTGACTTCATTGTAAAATGCATGACTTCGCTCAAGGAAAAATCCTGAAGGGTACACATTCCCCATTTGTATTCTGTATCTGTTCAGTTACCCAAGGAGAGCTGGGAGGAGTGATTTTAATAAATAGTTCCATTAGGGTATGGGTTTTACTTTTTTAATTGCCTTGATTTAATGTATTTGAAGATATTGCTAGCAAATACTACTCCTTGAAAACAGACCAAATTCATTGGGAAAAAAAGGTGGGGCTTGATTAATTTCTGAAAGTAATGGTCTGATTAATTGCCTAAGATAGAAGATATCACTCGTTGATCAATAAATTCTCCTTTACTCAGTCTAATTCTTCCCACTGCATCTCTAACAATAACTTTTTCCACTTCTGTTTTGGTACAGTTCCATAGGTTGTGGGTTAAAAAAAAAATTTAATTACAAACCAATTTTTTTTCTAATTGTTGGATCCTCTGTAAGTACTAATGATGTAGATTTTCATCTGAATACAGTCTGAGCACCACATATGAATCTATCACTATAGCCTAGCCTGTATCTAACAGACATCCCCAAGACTAATAACAGTTAACAATGCTACATGGTAATTATAACATCTAGATTGTGAACTTTCCTACAAGCAAGACTGCTACCTCTAGAGAGAATGCAAACTGTAAAAAATGTGTAGAAATCTATTCATATGAGGAATAATGCACAATTAAACTGTACAATTAATGAGTTCTTAGCTTTATTGAGACTTAATATTACGTCAGCTACTTTTTATTCCCAGGTTGATATATTAATTGACAAAATAATATTATTTTAACCCAGAAGTTGTCAGGAAACAGACTATTGCATGGATAGTCATTACTGAGACATTGGAAACATTTCAGCCCATTTATCAAGAGTATGGAGCAAGTCAAATATGTGTAAAAAACCTGTATGTTATCTCATAAAATTTATTCCCCCTAAAAATGTATATAGTAAAATGATTTGCTCCAAACCAGTATCATGCAGCATATTTTATAATTAATAGAAAAGTCAAAGTTCAACTGAGCTGCTTTTTGACTAACATTACAGGAATTGTGAAGCAGCAGATAGACAGCCATATCAAAGATCCAGATCAACAGAGCAACGTCCTGTGCTAGAGCGGACCAACTCCCGCTCCCGATCCACAGAGCGTCCTGACTCAAACCTCATCAGGTCGATGCCTTCATTAATGACTGGAAGATCTGCCCCTCCTTCACCTGCCTTACCGAGGTGAAACAGACAAATCAATCAGACTAAACCCCTTCTGCCCCACCAGCTCACCATTTTATTTTCCCAGTAGCTAATTGGTATTGCCTCATCCTTAGCTGATCACTAGCAGCAATAGATACTAACCCTTTCAGTGTGAACACACTATTTATATTCTACTCTGGATATAATGGTGTGGCTACCATTGCAAATTGCTTGCTAACAGTATTTAACTATGTTTGTTTATGATTTCTCATTTGTCAGGAATCCTGGATGGTTTCCACATAAAGCACCTCATAACTATCATATTCTTCTCTTACAGAATGAGAAATTATTTGTGTTCATCAGACATTGCTTATGGAACAACCATCATAACATCAAATGAAACTATTTTTTTTTAAAAAAAGTTTCTTTAGATGCACTGTACTAACTTTGTCTATTACTTATCATTTTAACCACCATTTTCTCTGACTACATTTAACTGTGCCATAGTCTGTACTGTTCCTGTTTGAGTATCCCTGATTGATATTTTGAGGATTTCTATACATTATTCTTAGCTTAAACAAACATAATACAATAAAAAGATTAGCACATTTTGGTCTAGATCATGTTCAGGAGAGCCTTTCTTTATTTTAGAACTGCAGAATACATTCTTTTGTTTTGTGAAAGTTAGAGTTAGTATCATCAAATCCCCAGTGAGAATTGAGTCAAATATCATTGTCTTTCCTCAGTTCATTACTTTGTTCAGAAAAATTCATGTAATCTCACTGCAACTCAAAGGTAATTTAAGAAAATACAAGCTGAGTAAAGATAATTGAATTTGACTTATGAATAAATTTATGTGTATGTGGCTATTATATCCATATGCACATGAATATGCACACAACATGTTCTCTGGCTTGACTGTGTGAAAAAGCATCTTATGGAAGCAGCTTATGGAAGCATCTTCAGCCTTAATTTGGCTTCCTTTTCATAGAGAGATCTCTCTTTTTGATCAGGTCTTTTTCTGAAAAGATACAATAGTTTCCCTCTGAGACTGCAAGGGTCCCAAATGATGTAAAGTCTACTTAGTCATGCCATCAGTGTTTGACGATACTTAAGAATAACCTTGTTATTTAATGGCTGTGGTTTGTTTTGATATGTGTCCCATAGGTCACATCCTCGAACTGGGTCTGTCCAGACAAGTCCATCAAGTACTCCAGTAGCAGGGCGAAGGGGCAGGCAGTTACCGCAGCTCCCACCCAAGGGGACGTTGGAGAGAAGTAAGTGGATGGTTTTCTCCCTCATGACATTACCAAATTGCTCATGGAGGTTGATTATACTTATTATTTTTCTTTTACCATTACAGTTGAAATCTCTTGAGTTTTTGTGCAGAGTTGGGATTTGGTAATGGTATTGCATTTTTTTCTTCTATTATGTTTTAATATCTACAGTACTCTTGGCTGACATGAATAATCAGCAGTATAATGCACACAAAACAAGGTGGACTATTAGCATGATCCTGTTCCTTTTGAACTCAGTAGGTGTTTTGTCATTGACTTCAACAGGCACAGGAAATAATCTTTAGTATGTTGTCTAGTGACAAAATTCTGGCTCTTTTGGGAGTCAGGAACCCAGCTGATCACTTGTGGGCTCACATGGAGTGTATTACAGATTGCTAATACAAAACCTCTGCATCTTGAAACGGGAAGAGCAAGAAGACAGGTAATAATCTTTAAAATAAGGAACGTCAGATATTTCATGATTCACATTTTACTGGTACTGTTATTGTGCTTATCTTTAATCTTCTATTAAAAGCACTGGTTGATGGAGATATTTACTGAAATGTTTCGAAGCAGAGGTATATAAACACATTTTTGACAGCAAATACATTTTCACCCTTCTATTTCTAGTAATTAGCTGTGCCGTGCAAAATCAGTCTAAGTGGCCATATACACTCCTTTGTTTAATCCTTCTTGACATATATTTTGTAACTTTTAAGAAACTTCTGTTGGTTTTAACCCCTGTGCTTTGGTTCCTTTTTTTTGTTTGTTTGTTTGTTTGTTTTGTTTTTGTGACTTTCCGTAGACAATGGAGACAAGGAGATAGAATCTTATGAAGGTCTGTACATAAAGAAGGGCTTGTTTTTCACCTGAAAGCCTTTTTTCACAGGCTGTATAGGGAAAAACAAACCCAACTGCAATTGATGTTACTTGATTGCACAGACATAGTCAGAATTATTGTCATAATGATTTAGTCTTTATTTTTAGATCTATGGCTCATAAATTTTACAGGATTCTATATGAAAAAAAGACAATATAAATAATACAATCTAAATATGATTATCATTAGAAAAGTACCTAGACACATACCCATTTTTAAAAACCTAGAATTTACCCTATGGCAAATAAGAGAATTTCAGCAGTTATGTAGGTACATTTCCAGGATTAGCAGATATTCAGGCACATGTTTAAATATAAGCATTGGAGGCTATTTGACATGTTTTATGTTAGCCACATATTCAATCAGAATACTGTTTTTATTGCAAATATTTTATACTGTGATACGTTTGCTGAATTAGTACATAATTTGCAAATAATATGGGGAAAAATAGAATTGAGGTAATCTTTCAAAAAGTTAAAATATTTTGCTTAAAATGAAGTTTCCTTATATTTTATAGTACTAAAACCATTTAATTTACTTAGTAGCAAGCCACAAGATATCAATTGCAGTCCTTGGTTATACCACTGAGGGTCTTTATGTAGTCTTACTGTGTTTGTCTCATCAGACTTTTTAATTTAGTATTTCCAGTGTTTACAGTATTTATTTCCATTTGGGAAACAAAACTTCATGAAAGGAAAACACTTGTTTTCTCAGATCATCACTCTGTTAGATTAATTTCTTTGTCTTATGTGTTGTGACTTGCTTATATGAAATACAGTCTAGATATTCCAGGCAGTAACCACATCTATTCACATGATGTTTGCTGTCATTGCTGTATATGCTTTTATGTTTTACCACTCTTCCCTGCTCTTTGCTTAGTACATCTGTTTAGATGGTGAACTCCCTAGAGCAGCAATTGTGAAGTACAGTTTTTGTATATGCAATATATCTTTACTGTGTTTGATTAGAGAGGGTAACAGTCTTATTTATTATTTACATCATAGGTTCTATAGAGAGAAATGTAATAAATACAATAAAATAATTATTTTTTATAGGAGTGCTAGAATTGTTTCCTCTGGTAAGTACTGCTGGGACTTGAGGAGCTCTCTTTTTACTCAAAAACTGAGTAATATTTTCCTTTTACTTTGTCTTTTAAAAAAAGTAGTCTTTTGGAAAATCTGGGTCATGGAAAATTGCCAGATCCACAGATTTTGATGTTCTAATATACAATCAAAGCATCATAAGTGACTCAGGATACAGTAACTAGACATATTTTATATTGAATTTGCACATATAAAAATGGCGAACACCCTTAAAAAAACCTAATCCACAGATACAACTTTCATAGAGCATTCTATGTAATTTTCTCTTGAGAATTAAGAGCTCATATTCTATTACCAATAGAGTTCTTCTTTGAGGCTTTTTCTGTCCTTCTTCAGGATTTTCTAATGATTTTCTTTAAAGGGAATAGTAATTTTCTTTAAAAAGGAGAGTGCTCTGCGAGAACAGCAGATTACCTAACTTCGTTCAGTGACAGAACACAATTAAGATTAATAGCAGTCTTTTTACTGTGGAGAATTGAATTTTACAGAAAGTTATTTTAGGCAAATGAAGTACCAGGTACAAAAACTGAAATTTAATAGAATTGGAAACACTGACTATCATAGAAAGACTTTATGTTAGTATTTAACAAATTTAGCATCAAGTAAACCTGAAAGTTTTGTAGATATTTGAGTAGGTTTCAATGCCTTTTTTTTACGCCTTTTTTAAGTGATAATCAAAACTTTTGTGTCTTATTGGGAAGGCGATATGACCATACCAAAAAATGTCACAGAGTAGTTCTTTCTGCTCTTACAGAACACATACTTGATTCAAATGAAAGTTAAACTTTCTGAATTTTGAAATCAAGGATTTCATTGTTGACTAGATTAAGTTAAAATCAAACTGATGAAAAGCGTTACTAAAAGGTACCTTATAGGCAATGATGGATTGGAAATAAGCTTTGTAAAAGAGAAGAGAAAGAAGGAAAAGCTTATCTGTTGCAGACTTCCACAGTGATCTCATTTAGTTTGCGTACATTTGATTAATCTGTATTTCTTACAGGGTTGTATCTGCATACCTTTTCTTTAAATGTAGTACAAATACCAGAACTCAAGTAGAAAGAAGGGAGTAATTTGCCGTTGGAGATAATATTTTGGTATATGACATCACTCACTAGAATGTTGAATATGGTGTGCTTATGGCTGTGTGACTAGAAATGGAAAGGAAGGAATCTCAGGGAGAAACCTAACCCTTTGGGTAATTGCTTTCCAAATTAGGATCAGAATTAAAAAAAACTTGATTTGGGTTAGATTTAGTTCCATGAACTGTATTATGTGGTTGGGAGTTTTTTGCTCCAGGACATGAAGGTGCCTTTTGAATACTTTATTTCAAGATAGACCAAAGTGTTTGCTTTCAAGAAAGGTACGTGGGAATAGCTATGAAGACCATTCCTACCTGTGGTGTACTGACCCAAACATATTTTTATCAGTGTTCCACATGCTCAGTAGAACATAAAATATCCTTAGTTATGTTGGATTTACAGCCTTTTATGGTCATGATATTTTTGCTAATTCCTTAGGTTGTCACTGCTGTGTTTACTGCGGTATCAGATTTGCCTGTTAAGAATGACCAGGTATTTCTGAAATGCACGTCATTAACTCGTCTACCCAGGCTATACCTTAGCATCTAGGCAGTTTGGGACTTGCTTTAGATTTTATTAGTTTAGTATATTTTCATGTTATGTGGTTACAAAATAGTTCTGAAAAGATATCTGGGACCATCTAACAGATTTTCACTAATGAAAAGCCAGAAGAATTTTTCTTTCAGCTAAACATTTGCTTGTATGTTTTAAAATTACACTAGAGATAGAAGTATCTTGTTTAAATTAACATTTGTAGAAAGTATTGTGAAATTGAACTTGGTTTTAGTGCCGAAATGTTGATGTACTCTTAAGTGTTCTGTATTTTTTGCACTATTGACAAGAAGTGAATAGTGCAGTATTTATAGTTCTTAAGGGTTAACAGGTTTTTTTTCATTTATATGTGGCTATAATTTATTTCTTTGTTCTTACTTGCCTTGGCAGAAAGATGAAATCACTGACCACTTACTCCTAATTAAAATGGAAGACCATAAAGTGGAAGTATTCAATATTCACTCTTTCAGTTCATTGTTAATTACTAATCAGAGAGAGAGCATTTTTTCCTAATATATATTTTTACTTTTCCTTTTAAAAATAAATATAGTCCTTTCTTTCTTCTTTCCACAAAAACATCTCCCCACCATAAAAACTAGAAAATCATATTAGGCCAAACAGATGTAATAAAACCTTAAAATTTGGAAATGAAGTACTCAGAAATGTAACAAATAGTAGAGCTCAGTAAGGATTTGCCTTTCTATTTATGCTCTATGGTAAGGACTTTAATTATATGATCTCATAATAATCTTGTGTCTTGACAAAGTTATTTCAGAACCTGTTAAGGCCTGACATTAATGCTGATTAACTGTCCCCTCTTAACTTCAGGTGTGGGTAATCTTTTTTCCAGAACAAAATTAGATATGAATAGAATTAACAGGAATACTTGATTAGGTTTAATCAGGGATAGCTAGAAATCATTAGTCAGTGTTTATCTCTCTCAGATACGTATTCAAATCCCTAAAAGGACAGAAGTATAGTGACAATGTACTATTGCAATTTATGCAGCCTGGAATGGTTAGGAAAGCATAGCTACTACTGACAGAAATACATGTGTTTATTTTAATTTTTTTATCTCATTTAGAAGATAATTTCTTTAAATGAGAATTCATTTTACAAAATGAAAAAGAATTTTATTGTGTGTTTTATGTAGCCCTACCCTAGTTTGATGGGAGACACAGAGAGGTGGTTATAATGCAATTGCAGAGGACCAGTATTAAGTCTGGTCATGATTCTATCATACTCTATCAGCTATGATTTTAGAATATATGGCATATGGGTATTTTTTTTTAATAAATTATTGATCTCATGCATAAAATATAGGATAGCCTAGATTACCTTCAGCTTGGCTATGAACTTAGGCAAACACAGCAGTCTAAAATATGG